TCCCCCCCTTTTTTTTTTTTTTTTTTTTTTTTTCTGGTTTTTTTTTTTTTTTTTGGGTCTTTCTCCTTTCAAAACGTTAAGGGGATAAACGCGCGGGTGAAGCGTTAAAAGGAGGGGGAAAAATTGAAAAAATAAAATAATAATTAAATCCGGTGTTGTGGTGGGTGGAATGGATTGGTAAAAATATTATAAAAAAAAATAAGAATAAATTTAAAAAATAAAAAGAGGTGAGACAGAGGGGGAGGGGGTTCAGCCAGGCGGTTACGGCGGCTCAAATTGTCTCGCTCGCTCTCGGTTTGGGGGGGGGAAAAAATAAATAAATAAAGAAATAATAATAATAACAAAAAAAAATCAGGAAAAATTAAAATTAAAACCGGGATTAAAATTAAAATTAAAATTAAAATTAAAATTAAAATTAAAATTAAAATTAAAATTAAAATTAAAATTAAAATGAAATGCTGGCGGGAAGGCTGCGAGGGGGCTCGGAGGTGATGGGGAGGGGGGGTGAGGAGCGGGGACCCCCCCAGAAATTCGGGTTTGGTTCGGGGTGGCCGGGCCGGGGCAGGAGGCGGCAGCGGCGCCTTTGATCCACGTGATGAGCAATTAGGCGTCAATTTATGCAAATGAGGCTCGGCAGCAGCTCCGCGCCCCCCCCTCCGCAGCGCGGCCCTGCCGGAGCTGAGGGTGCGCCCCCAAATTTCCTTCTCGCAGCCGCCCCCAAAACCAAACCCCAATTTTTGGGGGTTTCGGGATGCTCGGTGCTGCTACAACTCGGAGTAACCTCGGCGGAGTTTTCACCACCCCAAGGGCGCGCCCCCAAAATTCCTTCTCGCAGCCACCCCAAAAACCTAACCCTGACATTTTGGGGGGTTTCTAAGGGGCGGTTTTGAGCAATTCTCGCTGTTGCTACAACTCGGAGTAACTTCAGAGGAACTTTCAGCACCCCGAGGATGCTCCCCCGACCTCCTGCTCCTCTCAGCCACCCCAAAAACCCCAAACCCCATTTTTGGGGGTGCTCCCCCGACCTCCCTGCTCCTCTCAGCCACCCCAAAAACCCCAAACCCCATTTTTTTGGGGGGGGGTTCTGAATGCTCGGCGCTGCTACAACTCGGAGTAACTCCAGCGGAACTTTGAGCCCCCCCGAGGATGCTCCCCATAATTTTCCCACCCCCTCGAAGCCACCCCAAAAACCAAACCCCAAAATTGCTTTGGGGTTTCTGGGGGGCGGTTTTGAGCAATTCTCGCTGTTGCTACAACTCGGAGTAACTTCAGAGTAACAACTCCACAATTTCCACCAACCCTCAGGGTGCTCCCCCCAATT